TGGGTAAAATCCCTCCCCCTGAAGTCACCCCCCCCCCCCAAAAGCCGTGTGTTTATAGACCACAAGCCTCGCTAATGCGCGTGAAAAGCCTCCTGAGGCATAAACATTATTGACAAACTTGGCTGGACATTTGAGGCAGGGATCGGCGGCTGCGTGTCATGCATATTCATGCCGTCCGCGACGGCGGCCTGCCTGGACCGCGCGAGCGGGAGTCACGCACGCCACACTCCGGCAGCAGCCCAAATGCGTTCTGACACTGATTATGCAAAGCTCCCCCCGCTACCTGCAATACGGGGCTCTCTACTTTATTAAAGTTGAGATATCTGCAAGTCTGTGGATGGCGCCGTTTTATTTTAGCTCAAATAATCTGAATCAATTTTAATTCCCACCAACCCCCACCACCCCAGCCCCCTCACCCTCCGTGTCTGCGGCAGCCATCACTGTGAAGAATCAGATGAAATGTGGCCTTTGATATGCCATATTCTCTGCTTTAAATCTGGGAAGACCTAGAGGGGATTACAGCTCCCAACTTCAACATTTAAATTCTTGGCAGAGACCGTTCACATGGCTCCCGCCCTCATCAGACGCGCGGAGAAAGACGCCTGCGAGAGCTATTTCATATCGGGGCACATTTAGTTATATGTAGGTTGTGTATTTATGTACTTTTAAAAGCAGCATGGTGTTTACGGCAGCAGAGATTAGGAGTAATGTAACTATAATTAGTGGAGTTGTAAGATCATCAGGTCAGTATATACAGAAAGATGGCGTGTTCTGTAAGCCGCTGTACCGCTTTGATTCTTTAATTTATGGGCCAGTAGAGCATTCTGAATTTTAGTAATAGTCATTAGTAATAAAAATGATAAGGATTTTGTTTCAAGACGTAGCCGTTGCCTTTGTATCGGCGCCGTATCACATTGCCGGTGTTTTTCACGCCCACTCACCGGCTGGTACCTGAATGTGTGGATGAGGCAGGTTTATATTTCAGCAGAATGCTGGATGCACGCGGGTGTGAGTGCTGTGGAACACCGCGGCGTCGTGTTCTGCATGCCTGTTTTGCTCTCTGCAGCTGTGCTCGTTAGCTGAGAGCCTCGGCGGAGGGCATTGCGGTGACGTCGTGTGTGGTGAGCGGACCCGCTGCTGCCCGTCCTCACTGGGGGCCTCGGGTTCCGGTTTGAAGGTATCTCCAGCCCCCGTGTGTTTGTCGGATCACTAGATAGCAGCTTTGGCCCTGGTGTCCCGTATGAAAGCCGCTTCCCTGGTTGTATTGTGACCCAGCCTGTTAGATATCATTCAGGTGGAGGCAGTATTTGGTACCACTTACACTGTGTCTGAACGCACCGCTGCTGGAGACCACGTTGGTCTGAGCTGCAACATCCTCCGCGTCTGCCAGCCGCTCGCTGGCACAGCCGGGCTTCCGGTCCACACAGAAGCCCACATGCTCGACGGAAGTCTCCAGAATAGGTGAGACGCCACAGCTCTCCTTCCCCTGTCTTGGGTGGCTGCTGTACTGCAAATTCAGCCAGTTTCCATCGAGACCTTCCTCAGTTTGGGCTCTTTGTTCATGGTACAGATATTGCTGGGAAAGATCTGAGGCGGATTTGAAGCACCGAGGACTAGCATGTTTCCTGAGTGTTTAGCATTTCCCGTATAAACATATCAGTCATGCCGAATTGGGCCTTTGCCGTTATCAAGTAGGGGCCATATTTCTGCGACTATATGATGCGGAGAGGAATTGTCCTCATTTTAAAAGGGAGGCAAATTGCATCTGGGGGGCTGGGGAGGGTCTCTCAAATTGACGTATCCCTGTCTCTGTCCCCGGAAAAGTGCACGGTTTGCTAAACTGCTTCTCTTGGAATACTGAAAAGTGAAACAGAAGATTATTTTAATGATTCCTTTGCTGTTAGATCAACTGCGCCTACATGGGAGGGGTGGCTGGGTGGGGGCAGCGGCCCTCGGGTTTCACCTGTAATCACCCCGCTGTGCCCACCGCCCCAGTCATGTGACACATGCTTTCCTCGTCTGATGCCGCCCTGGTGAATTGTGACTTGTCAGGTCCCACCTTCAAGAGCGGAGGGGGAGCCACAAAGGTGGGGAAGCAAACCCCCACCCCCAGCCCCCCAAGGAGCGAGATGACATCCCCGGTCGCCGGGGAGGGTCCTGATTTTTCACGGAATCGCATGTGCCAGTGGTTTAATTACCACGCGCTCGGGGTGGGGTGGGGTGGGGTTGGAGGGGCACGCCCTCCACCGGAAACAAAAGGCTCTCCCCCCCCCATCTTCCAGGCTCCCCTGGCCCCCGCCGTGACAGACCGCGAGCGAGCGGCCCACACCGGCCCCTTCCTGGTGCTGTGATTAGACTGGGACGGGAGCCTCCAGCTGGCAGGCCTGTCTGTGACTGTGGGCCCTCGTCCCCACGCTCGTCACCGGCTGACACCTCTGACAGGCGAGGGACAGCCCTGGCAGACAGGTTCATTAAACGCCATCTCTTACAGCTGGGCCTCAAACAATGAGCCGCGCGCTTTTGTCAGGGAACTCATTCCGATCCTGGCTTGTTGGCTTAAACCGCAGCGAGTTTTCTTGGCAATTTTTTTTGACGTGAACTCTTTGAGCCGCTTGATTATTATTTTGTTTTTCTCCTCTTTAAATCCTTGTTTCGCCCTCCGTCCTGAACTGCCGCCCCCTTCGAAAAGAAAAGAAGGGGAAGTGAATTTTTTTGCCCCAGCCTGGGAAGCATGTGACAGTGACGGGGTGGGGGGGTGTTTTCGTGTCTAACCAGCGTCGGCGTTTGTTCTCCGCGTGGCCTGGCTGAAGAGGTT